ATCCCCGGGCCCGGCTCCCGCACAAGGAGCGGGCTGACCCATCCGGGCCGGGCACTGCCCGGTGCTGCCGCCCCTGCCCGGCCCGGGGAGCCCGGTCTGGCCTCCCGGTGCGCGGGATGCGGGGCCCAAGCCCCCAGGGCAGCCTGGCCGTGGTGAGCAGGGAGTCTGTTCTGTGAGGTGCTGCTGGGCGAGGACAAGATCTCGTGGGACACGCACTTACGGGGCTGTCGCAGTGTATTAATAGCTGGGTTTTTTTGGTCTTTTTTTTTCGTTAGTTTTTTAGCTGCAGAGGTCTTCCAGTGATGTATGGAAGATACGTTTCCCCATGCGAAGCCCGCTTGTTTTCTCAGAAGACTGTGCCTCACAGGGAATTGTATTCCCATTTCCTTTTTAGCACGGTAGCTGTAAATTATGGGATTAGTGATTTGATTACACAGCAAATCAAGGAGACAGTGCTCTTCTACCTTACAGTATGCTTCCTTGTGTAAGCAGCAGCTGAGTATTTGCAGATAGTATTTTCCAGTTACTATTCAAAAGTACTTTTTGCCTCTTTAAGCTTTCAAAATTCACCCTAGCTTAAGAACTGCTTCAGTAACCACAAATGTAGCTTTTGCAGTGCTAACTGAAACACTGGAAGTTCTGAAACCCACCTTCAGCTGTCCCTTGCAATTATGAAGGTGTCACCATTTGACTCGGATCTGACAACAATGCTCTTGATCCCCTCCCCCTCCACCCAGGTAGGGAAGGAGAGAGAGAAAAAGAGAGAGACTTGGCTGGATTGAAAACTAAACTACACAGCTTTAATTAAAACACTAATGAGTGATATAAGAGAACATATACAATTATATACAGATAGATTCAGGTATGGGCAAAAGCCGCTCGCCTTCCCCCACCCCAGCAACTCCCACAGCACTTCCCTGAACTGGAGAAAAGTCCCGAGGAATCCTGGAGCTGCTGCCAGAGAGAGCACAGAGTGATGAGGGTCAGGAGAGCTCGAGCCTAAGGGTCGACGGTGATGGATGAACAGAGTCCTCCCTGGACGCCAGCCATGGACGGAAGAGAAGGGAAACAGAAGGAGGACGCTGTCTTCTGTGATCTCTGACCTTCCTCTGAGCTTACGTAGATATATGGAATGGAATATCTCTGGCCAGTTTTGCTGTCTGTCTAACTCAGCCTCCTACGGGGAGGCCACAGATCTCCCCATAGTGTCTGAGCCGGCAGAGTGAAGGTGCAACCTTGAAGCCTCAGTGGTTAGAAAAACATTCCAGTGTCTTATCAATCTAGCAGAACACACTGTTGCTAGTTAAAAGAAAGCTTACTGAAGGAAAAAAAATCAGTAAAAAGGAAAATTTGCTTCATCTTGACTCAAACCAAGACAGAAGGGAAGACTATTGCAAACACAAATGAAGCAGTAAGTTTCCTTCTCCAATTTGCTACAAAATGTGAAAACTATTTGCCCTCCTTGATTTTAGGAAGAAAAATGCAATGTACCATCTGGAGAAAAAGCAGAAGAAGCTGAACAACCCAGTGATATAGAAGAAGGAGGATTAGATCTCAGTGTGTCTCTCAAACCTGTCAGTTTCTACATCGCAGACAAAAAAGAAATGCTTCAACAGTGTTTCTGTGTCATAGGAGAGAAGAAACTACAGAAGATGCTGCCTGATATTTTAAAGGTACTGAAATACACTTATTTTTTATATGCTTTTACAAGCTTGAGTGCTTGCGTAACAAAGCACTTTCGTACCTTCACTCTAGTGGACTCCCTGCTTAACTCCTACTTCTGTATTTCTTAAATAAAAATTATACCAAGTCCCTGAAAGTGAGACTGTTCTAACATTTTATATAGTTTTTCCAGCTTATGCCTTTTTCCACTGGTCAGTTGTTGCTGAACAGGCATCTTCTGTGTGTTCTGTGTGTGTACTGGTTAGTGAAATGCAAAAGTTTCACGGTTGCATGGAGTAAATTCAGTAGAGTTGTTCACCAATAAATATGCTGATTTGTTAATAAAGTTGATTCCTGTTCGTGTGAGCTGAGTTTCTTTAATGTCTGAAATAAGGCAGTAAAATCCCTTATTGATAAACAGCTTCTGAAGCTGTAAGTTCTGTGGACTTGAGTGGTAACATTGCTAGAGTTTTTCTATCTTAGAACATATGCTTTTAGACATGAACTGCAGGATTTAATAAAAATAAATTAAGCTATCAGCCTGTACAAAATAACAGGCTGCAGATGAAATGCCATTTTTTTGGTGTTTGTTAATAGTTCTTAAAAGGTTGTCTTCAGTTTTTCTATTTATGAGTCATATTACTAATATAAGTTAGGCAGGAGTTCTTCCTTATAAAGATGTAGTGAATTGCAGACAGTTTCATCCACCTCTCATCTCTGGGAGAAAAAGGATCTGGAGCAACAGGAGGCAGAGGCTTTTTTGAATTTGAAAGCAAGTGGCACGGTGGTGTGGAACCAAACCTACAGTAAGGTTGTGAATGTTGCAATATCCTCAGCGCTTCCTAATTTTGGTACTTGTACACAGCATGATAGTGTATTTGAAAGTGAAATGATCACTTCATTTTACCAAGAGGACACAAAGTAGTATGACAGATGTGAAGGTAACTGAAATACCCATAAAAGCATGAGAAATTAATAACAATTTACATATTTCATATGTTTTCCTTATTTTGAGGGACGTCTATTAATGTGTTGTCAACAGCAGTGTTTGCTGCAGTTTATGAACTTGCATTCAACAGTTGGCTCTGTCCTTTGCAGACTTAGTTGTGTAATCCACCTGCTCCTGAGTGATGAATTACTCCTAATCAGGGCTATAGTTGCTTGCTGCTCCATGCTTCACATATATGGCCCAGTATTTTTACTGCTCACGGTTGCAGCTGCAGTGAAAACTCCAAGCCATAGGTCAAGTAAATGATAGTGTGTATTGCTTAATTTTTCAGAGAAAGAAAGGCACACTATTTATGATAGTTATCAAAACTGAAACACCTGATATTCTTCAGCAGTTTGTCAGTGCAGATCAGAATGTGGAAGGGATTTTGCAAATTGTGTTAACTCTGCATTCAGCAGAGTTGGGCTCTTAATTGTCATTCATAATTACTCTGTCCTCAGAATTTTTTTGTAGCTTGTGGTCTGTCTTGTCTGTCTCCTTAGAGTTGTTCCATGGATGAAATCAAAAGGCTTTGCTTGGAGCAGTTGGAGCTGTTATCTGAAAAAAAACTGTTGAAGATACTAGAAGGTATGAATGAAACATTAGGGCACGACTGTACACCAGAGAATAGTCTGCCACTGAACTGGATTTTCACTGTTTATAGGACTGATATATATACACACACATATATAAGTAAAAATTAGTGTATAAATATGTCTATTTACATTTGTATACAAATATATTAGTATTAAATATATGCACACACTAGATATACTATTAGCATGAGTATATATGCAATACTAATACATACAGGTATATTAATTTATTTACACGCATATCTACACTTAATATATACTTACATGTGTGTATATATGTATTTATGGTGGCTTTGATCTTTTAAGCTTGAATTAAATTGTCTGTTGATTTAGAAGCTATTAGGGACACATTCAGAAAAAAGTAATACAAGCTTCTTTTCCTTAGTACCCAAACTAAGAACAAAGCTTTTGACTTAATGAAAAACAAACCTAGGAGGGTAGAAGTATGTTTGAAATCAATGTTTTAATGCAAACAGATTCTAAGTTGCCTCCACGTTCTCAGCAAAGAAACTTATGACACACCGCAACACCAGCTTAATTGTAATAGCAATTGCAGTGGAGTATTTTGTGTAGTTAAATAGTTCTTGATGGTTCTCTCTGCTCTGCTGTGACACACAGCCATTTATTTGATTGAAGTTATGACATTGTAGCTTTTAAGTTTCTTACCAGTCTTCCACTTGATATTTAAGGGCTGTAGAACTTACTTATAAACATAGATGTAATCTCAATTAAGTGGAACTCCTTGAGTCTTGAGTGCTGCAGAGTGCCTTCTGTTGATTCTGTCTCCTGTGTTTTATTGTACTAGAAATGACTATTCTGTTCAGATTTGGTTTGTTGTTTTTTTTTTATTTATAATACTTTGTGACTGAAAAATGTCAACCATGTTGCTAGCAGAAAACTCACAAATAAGGTTTTGATTTTGACTGTCTGATTTTAGAGCATCTGTTTTAGCTTGAAAAAAAGCCTGATGATTGCAATTTAGTTAATCTTTACAAGTAAGCTTAACAACATAACATTTATTATATTACCTGCCTACATTTCCTGTTTGAAACTGTATATGCAGGCAAGATTGGAGCTGATTCTGATACTGACGAGGAGGCAGATGGAGGATACAAGACTGGAGGTGAATCAGTCAGTCAGTGAGTAAAAGGAAAAACACTTAAAAAGTTAATTTAAGAATACTGAACAATACACGTATTTTTCATGAAAAATGGTAAGATGCAGTGGGGGAAAGCCCAGTTGCTACATCCCTACTTAGATTACTACTTTTAGTTAAATGACAATGAGCTGTGACTGCTAGCAAGCTCTAAACTTCAGAAACATGTCTTTATCACTTTGTGACACATTAATGTATCTTGAGCACATAACTGGGTTTCATTGCAGTGTTACAGCCCACCAGTTGAGTTGTAATTTGACATGTGCACGCTCCTAGCTTGAAGGTACCCTTTTTCTTCTACTTTCCTTTTTGGTCCTTCATTCCTGCCCCAGTTGAAGCACCATTGACACTCATCTGCTATGAAGTTACTGGATTAACTGATTTTCTTTTATCACATTTAATCATAAAAATATACCAGAAAATGCAGTGATACTAAGTTAAGTGATGCTTCAGTTTTTCTCATGTGATGCAGTTTTTAATATCTTTTGACGCTATTTATTCTAGGTTGCCATTTGGAGCTGATTTGTGGCTGTATTTCATTCCCCTGTGTGCGATTGTTGCCTATATAATCTGTGAATGGTGTCAGTGTACCCATTTATGTGGACTAATTTTCTTATTTTGGACATTGCCGTCTGCTTGCTATTTAAGAAAGTAAACAAAAATATTAAAAACCCCCTACAAAATACACTAAATTTCAGGTCTCCTTTATATAAAGGAGTCTCTGTTAAGTAACTGGTGTTTTGCCAGTGAGCTTCTAAACAGAATGAGAAGACAAATTTATTAGCTAAGGAAACCATGGGAAATGCTCCAGATTTTTGATTTGTGGAGAAATGACATGATTTTCCTTTAACCATTACTGCAGTTACCAAAAACCTACAAAGCTAGGTTGTTGCTGGTTAGAAAGCCGTGAACAGTGACTGACAGCAAAATCAAGAAGAAAATGTCTTAAAAATACAAGAAACTGTGAGATGTTAATCAAAGTTACAGAGCAGATTGTTTCCTTTGATGAACAGAATGAGCTTGGTGCGCCTGTTACTGTACCTCTATCTTCATCCTTATAGTAAAATGTTTCAGATACCTCCAAACTGGAGGAGAGATACTTCAGTGTAGGAATTGTGGGGTTTATTTTCCTTTTAGTGCAGTGGGTTAAAAAATAGTGCACTACACACATTGGTGCTATCTCATGACCTTTGCTCATGGGTTAAGCTGTGTACCAGCTTTAACAAAAAACAAAAACCTGTTTGGATGAATGAGAAGTAATGGTAGGTGAAATGAGGAAAAGAGAGTTCTTATATTAAACATTAAACCCAGTGCTTATTAAGAGGAGCAATATTATATTTTTACAACTGTAAAATATCACAAGTGCTTTTTACTAAATAAGATTAATCTGTGGGCTTTTAGGTTAACTTTTTTTGCAACCTATGTGTAAATAAAGAGAAATGCAGGTTTACAAAACTTCAGAGAACCGTGTTTCAAACTGAACTGCAACAAGTCAGTCAGCGGGCAGGGAGGCTAAAGATGCAAAAGTGAAGAAATAGTGAAAAGTGCATTGCCAAGCTAAGCTTTGGTCATTTGTATTCATTATTATGTTTTATTTATCATCTGAGATTAAATGGGTGAATTTGTTCACCCTAGGAAAAGATTTTTCAAAATGAAAAGGGCAGTTTGTTGATATTCTCACTATTGGTTCTTCCTAAGTTGTCTTAATTACTTGTGGCTTTCTTACAACTGACTACATTTTTCTGCATTTTACTAATGATGCAACATTAAAGCCTTTTTTTTGTTTGTTTTATATCTGGCTTGCTATAGTTTTTTTCATGGACATGTAAATGCAGGAAAGGAAAATGCAAATATCAGGTCTTACTCTAGTAAAAAAATTGTTAACTGATTGGATATATCAGTTTGTTTCTTTCATCCTTGTTCTTTAAAAGAAATAATAAGTATTCAACAGACTTACACCTTACCGATGTTCATATATCAGTAAAAATCCAGAAAGCTTAGATCAGTACACCTGAAGAAATTACAAGTATATTAAAATGCACAGGCTTTTTTAGAAAGGCATAGTTCATACTGTGTCTCTTTGTTTCTTTTTCTTTTTCTTTTTTTTCCTCAGATAGGTAAATATTTATCTGTCTTGAAACATCTGCTCAGAAATGTTTAACCCCAGGTAGGATGGGCCTTTGAGAAACCTGGTCTATTGGAAGGTGTCCCTTCCCATGCAGGGGGTTGGAAGTGAATGATCTTTAAGGTCCCTTCCAACCCAAACCATTCTGTGATTCTATATATAGAGTGATTCCTGCCTGTACCTCTAGAAGTAGCAGGGATTTAGGTAAGTTTGTCCAGGTATGTGTAAGATTGCAAAATTCAGATCTTTATCTGAAGGTTTAGGATGGTATCCCATCTGTAATTGGAAATTGAACCTTACTTTTTTTGATGCATATGTCCTTGTTTTGCCACCACAACAGAAGTCCCAAGATTTGTCCTAAATTTTATCTCTGTCAAAACTTCTGTTATTTTGTCATCAGATTATTCTGAGTTAAACACTAGAAATCCTGGAATAAACATACAGAAGAACTGAAGAAACTGGGCCTTGGTTGACCAGTCCCTGGAAATTGCTGTTACTATAGTTACTCTTCATTACTTGTGAGCTCCCTGTAGAATGTAGACTATGCAATTCTCAGATTTTCATTATTTTTTGTGTTTGCAATGGAATACCATTATCCAAGGGAATTGCTGAACACCAAACTTCTAACTAAATAACAGATATTTAACTGGAGTGAGTTAGCTTATAATGTCCTGCACAATCAGGTAGGCATTCTTCTAATCTCATTCAAAAGGTGATAATATGTTATTGACCTATTTAACTTCTATTCCCTGAATTGGCTCTTTAAATATCCTCCAACAGAAAGACTGAAGGTAAATTATTTGCTGCAGTAATAAAATATGTATAGAAAGAACAAGCATGCTAGTATCGTTATGGTGGTATTATGTTAATGTGAGTACATTATAATTTGCTTTGAAAATCTAATGTGATTAATTTTTTGCACTGGGTGAAAATTTGCAGTTTGATATTCAATCTTTCAAGAGTTTCTAGGCTTTTAACTGCTTTGCAGTCAGGCATGCCATTTTGGCTTCTTTTGTTTTAGAAACATTAGCAATTTAAATGCTAGTCTTGTTTTGACATGTTTTGCTCCTGGGTACTGGGCTGTTCATAAACATGCAATTGCCATCTGATATTTACCTCTCTAGGACAGTTAGCTTCACCATTTGGAATCACTGAAAGAACAGGCAACTTGAATCAGTGAACAGATACACAAGCATTTGGTGTCTGTTCAATGTCTTCTGTTCTCGTCCTCCAACTTCAGCTGTCATCAGACTGATGGCCCTTTCATAGCTCATTAAACTATTTTGTTAGCATCTGTCATTTGGGATACCTTTCCTGAGGAGCACTATTTCATAAAGAATTTTTTTCCTTTTTTCTTAAATTTCTTGCTGTTAATTATTTTCATTCTTATTTTTCATAAAAAACTACCCTTGGAATAAAAATATTAAAGGAAGCTTATGAGGACTTGGTACTTCTGGAAATATTTTTTATTTTTGGAACTGCAAAAACAAATTTTATTTTAGGAAGGTGCATTGATCTCAAGCCTCACTCCAGAGATTCAAGTGAGTATTTTTTTACAACAATTAAAAGCCCTGTAAGGACAGGATCAGCATGACTGTGTCTCTTTTTTTTTTTTAGACTGTCTTCTAGTCCAGTGCATTAAGAATTTTTTTTCTGTCACAAACTTTCTCTGCTGGTCTCCAACTGCAGCTAATGCCGAAGCTTGGAATACCAGCCATCAGTAGTGCAGTGCTGTTCTTCATGGTCTGCTTCTCTGACTGGTACCCCTTCTAATCCATGCTGCTGTTTTACTGCATAATCTGCTGGCGTTGTGGTACCACATCATCCTCAAACCCAGGTTTCTTTGACAGTTATGCAGATTCCTGAAAGTAATAGGTTCTCTACAGAATCTACATGTGAGAGTCCAAATAAGCATTATGCTAACGTGGAGCATGCCAACATGAAAAACTAGCATAGGGCACATCTAAATTGACAGCTTTTGTCACCAACAAACATAGTTAGCTTCTTTCTGCTGAAAAGAACATACTGTGCAAATATTGTTCTATTAAAAAAAAAATATTAAAATGCTGAGTTCATCTCCTGGAAGAGTGACTTTGCGCTTAACTGTTATCCTGGAGAAGTATCTATAAAGACTGATAAAAAGAGGGAGCTTCATATTACTGTGGTTGCTTGCTGGCATGTCATGAGAGGTGGGTATTAAATTCTTATACTGTGCCTTATTTTTGTATTAGCATATTTTCTACTCCCATTATTTGGAGACATGATATTGTGCTACCCTTTCTTAGATCTATGCCACAGTATAGATGCTTAGGAAAAAAATATTTCTTATTAACAAATTCAACAAGGTTTAGTTGAGAGCAAAACTGAACTGTGACCTGAAATGCTTCTGCTTGGCCACAAGATGGTGCAGAATGCCCACCTATTGAATGAAGTAGTGAAAATTGACCAGCAGTACTGTCCATTCCAATCGATTCTGAAAGACTAGAACGTGCTGTGAAAATACTTCTGGGTTCTAAAAATTATTTTGCTGCTAGTATGTAGTCTTTACAGGAATATGGTTTTTCAGTAATCAGCAATAGTGTCAAGGCAACAGGAAGAATATTTATGAGTTTTGATGTGTGATTTTTTCAGTTGATGGGTTTTTTTTTATGTAGCGGCTAAAAAGGGTGTAGAAGATTTCACAGCCAGTGATTGAACCATTAGGGGTCACTCTGAGTTTTCTGATAAAGGGGTGATTATAATTCCTCAGTGAAAACTTACATTGAAGCTCAAGGTGGTAGCACAGATGTGGAGTTTCTTGCCTGTATGCTGTTAGTACAAGGTCAGACTTTCCCAAGTGACACATTGCTGTGTAGTAC